TATATATATATATATATATATATATATATATATATATATATAATACACTCACACACACACACATATACTAGGTCTGAAATAGCATGCAAATATGGTTTTAAAACGACTTTAGCACTACTTCATTGACTGTGAACAACGTTGTACGTTAATAGTCATTGATTTCCCTATTGAGAGTGTGCAAATAATACTTTTCTGAAAATATATCAAGGAGAAAGTATGAATGTGCGAATATAAAACCAACTTCACCTCAAAATACCGCAATAATGTTGAAACACGATACCTTATTGGGTTTTCTGTTGTTTGTTTGGAAGAAAGACTGTTCCCATTTCTTCAGGAGGATTTTGACGTCATTATATCGATCCATTTCACTTTATCCACAAATACGAACACAAACTCGCTCAGCCGCTGCTTACAACTTTATAAGTCCTGTATACAACAACGTGTATTTCTGAGTGGCTATAAAAACATCATGTCAGTTATAAAATAGAAAACTTATGCTGTACAAAAGAAATGATGATCGACTCTCATTCACTACACTATGAGCAAACGCGCCAAATGTCAAATTGGTGATGAAAACATTAGACGACTTCCGCCTCTTCCGAAAGCGTCATAATAAAAGTCCTTCAAAAACAGGGACTTATTTATGTAATTAATAAATTAACGCGAAAATTATTTAATACATTTTACAAATGATAATAATTCGAAGCGAAAACAATACGTCAATATTTCACAGATAAAGTCTTGTTTTCTGAGCAGAATAAAGCAGGATTAAACCAATAATCGAGCAAAATATCTTTAGGATCTGACAAATCAACTTCTGAACGTTAAAGAGTTTTGTTTTATTTTTTTCAACGTCAAATAAATGCATCTTAAACGTTTAAAAAGTTTATATATTCTACTGGTAAATAAAAAATGACCTCCAAAAAATTATAGCAGATAACAAGATTGAATTGTAATCAGATTGCATAATTTATTCGATTAATTTTTACTTCAAATTACATGAAAATTACAGTGAAAATTCAGAATTCTGTTTTTTAAGAAATACTTTTAAATTATTCAGTGTATAATAAAAGGTTTAGCTACCTGAGTGACAACGTTTGGTAACAACTAAAAAATAAAAAAACAAACTACAGTATATTGTAGTAAAATTATATAGTACTGTCGTACTTTGATATATTTATATCCATTTAAATTCAAGGTTCAACACGTCAAACTTCAGCATTTATTGTACTTCAAGGTGCTTTCAATGATTTAAAAAACACAACATGAATTTCCATGTCTAAAAAAATACAATAAATAATCGATAATTACAATTGAATAACTATGAAGAAGGGCGACACAGTTGCTCACAGATTACCACTGTTGTCTCACAGTAAGAAGGTTGCTGGATCAAGTCCAGTTGGCGTTTCTGTGTGGAATTTGCATGTTCTCCCCATGTTGGCGTGGGCTTCCTCCGGGTGCTCCAGTGTCCTCCACAGTCTAAAGACATGCGCTATGGGTGAATTAAATAAACTAAATTGGGCGTAGAGTATGAGTGTGCATGAATGAGTGTGTATAGATGATTTCTGGGTTGCAGCTGGAAGGGCATCAGCTGTGTAAAACATGCTGGAATAGCTGGCGGTTCATTCCGTTGTGGTGACCCCTGATGAATAAAGGGACTAAGCCGAAGGAAAATAAATGAATGAACAATATGTCAATATTTCATGAAATCTTGTTTTCTGATCAGTATGCAGCAGGATTATACAAATAATACAACAAAATATCGGTAGGATTTGACAAATCAACTTCTGAAAGTGAATTGAAATGATTTTGTTTTATTTCTCAAACTTAAAATTTCTTTCAATATCAAATAGAAGCATCCTAAATGTTCAGATATTTAATAATGGTAGATATTTTATTGGCGCAGGAAAAAATAATTATACAATAGACCACAATAACCAGAATGCATAATTTATTTTATTAACTTTTCTTTCAGTTAAATGGAGAATTATATTTTCTAAGATATTCTTATATATAATTTAATGCATAATAAAACTATATACCTGACAAAGTTTGGTAGCAAACAATAAATATATACCAAAACCTCTGTATATGGTAGTGAAATTATATATACTGTGGTACTTTGGTATATTTCTAGCCATTAAAATTCAAGCTTCAACATGTCAGACTTAAACATTTACAGTACTTCAAGGTACTGCCAATGATTAAAAAACACACAACATTAACTGTCAAAAAACACAATAAATAACTGATATTGAATAATAATAAAGAGACTCTTAAACAGTGATTAAATGTTGCTTTTTCCTTCATAGCAGGCCACATGGTAGCTTCTGCCCATTGTCAACACACGCATACTTTCATTTGAACCCTGTGGACACAAACAAACACACAAATCACTATTTTAATTCAGAAGAGACCATACATGATGTTCATAAAATGAAGAAAAAAAAACAAGTGAAAATGTAAACATGCCTCAATGGGAAGGATGAGCTGCTCACATACAGCACAGGTCTGGGCTAAAAACCTGTACAAGACAAAAAAATATATGACAAATGATTTGAATTAGCTAATAGGGGCATTTGTTTTAAAAACAATTTACAGCCAATCAATAGTAAGGGGCGTGTCTAGCAACAATAGCAGAAATACAAAAATGGGCGTGGTCTCATTGGCTTACGGACATTTTTTTATTTTTAATTTGCAGTAAGTTGTGTGTCTAGTAACAATAGTGGCGATTACAAATGGGGCGTGGTCTGGTTTGGTTATGGGCATTTGTTTTAAAAACAATTTACAGCCAATCAATAGTAAGGGGCGTGTCTAGCAACAATAGCAGAGTTAAGAAAAAGAGGCGTGGTCTCGTTTAATTATGGGCATTTGTTTTTAAAAACTATTTACAGCCAATCAGCAGTAACGGGCGTGTCTAGCAACAAAAGCAGAGTTAAGAAAAAGAGGCGTGGTCTCGTTTGATTATGGGCATTTGTTTTTAAAAACAATTTACAGCCAATCAACAGTAAGCGGCGTGTCTAGCAACAATAGCAGAGCTATGAAAAAGAGGCGTGGTCTCGTTTAATTATGGGCATTTGTTTTAAAAACAATTTACAGCCAATCAGCAGTAAGGGGCGTGTCTAGCAACAATAGCAGAGTTAAGAAAAAGAGGCGTGGTCTTGTTTAATTATGGGCATTTGTTTTAAAAACAATTTACAGCCAATCAATAGTAAGGGGCGTGTCTAGCAACAATAGCAGAGTTAAGAAAAAGAGGCGTGGTCTCGTTTAATTATGGGCATTTGTTTTTAAAAACTATTTACAGCCAATCAGCAGTAAGGGGCGTGTCTAGCAACAATAGCAGAGTTAAGAAAAAGAGGCGTGGTCTTGTTTAATTATGGGCATTTGTTTTTAAAAACAATTTACAGCCAATCAACAATAAGGGGCGTGTCTAGCAACAATAGCAGAGTTAAGAAAAAGAGGCGTGGTCTCGTTTAATTATGGGCATTTGTTTTTAAAAACTATTTACAGCCAGTCAGCAGTAAGGGGCGTGTCTAGCAACAATGGCAGAGTTAAGAAAAAGAGGAGTGGTCTCGTTTAGTTATGGGCATTTGTTTTTAAAAACTATTTACAGCCAATCAGCAGTAAGGGGCGTGTCTAGCAACAATACCAGAGTTAAGAAAAAGAGGCGTGGTCTCGTTTAATTATGGGCATTTGTTTTTAAAAACTATTTACAGCCAGTCAGCAGTAAGGGGCGTGTCTAGCAACAATGGCAGAGTTAAGAAAAAGAGGAGTGGTCTCGTTTAGTTATGGGCATTTGTTTTTAAAAACTATTTACAGCCAATCAGCAGTAAGGGGCGTGTCTAGCAACAATACCAGAGTTAAGAAAAAGAGGCGTGGTCTCATTTAATTATGGGCATTTGTTATTAAAACAATTTACAGCCAATCAGCAGTAAGGGGCGTGTCTAGCAACAATAGCAGAGATATGAAAAAGAGGCGTGGTCTTGTTTATTATGGGCATTTGTTTTAAAAACAATTTACAGCCAATCAGCAGTGTTCATGTCTTCTAATTGAAATTATAAAGAGTCAGAATATTTAATTTAAAATGTCAAAATCTTAATAGACACTCAACTAATTAGATTTTGACAGATAATTTCACATATGCAGTTGACGTCAAAATTCTAGCCTGTAAAACATATATGCAGTATTACTGTATTTTTACAATTGCAATGTGAAAAATACTGTACATTTTACAGTAAAGATATACAATACAATTCTATAAATACATATACAGCAGGATAAATGGTGCTGTACATCTAAATACGGTATATTTACTGTAACTGAACTACAGTATGTTATGGGTGAACTGCTGACAGCATGTTACTGTAGATTCTACAGGAAACTGTTAACAGTGTATTAATAATATTAACTTCAACTGTATATAATATTATCTAGGTGTATGGTGGCTCAGTGGTTAGCCCTGTCGCCTCACAGTAAGAAGGTCACTGGTTCGAGGCTTGACTGGCTCAGTTGGCATTTTCTGTGTGGAGTTTGCATGTTCTCCCCGTGTTGGCGTGGGTTTCCTTCGGGTGCTCCAAAGACAGTCCAAAAACATGCAGTCTAAAGTCCCTTTCACACATGCAGACCTTTCCGGAAAATCACCAGCAAATGTCTGCATGTGTGAACAGGCCCTTTCGAAAATACCGGTAAAGTCATTCCGGAAATTTCCCAAATATTTACCAGAATTCCTGTGTGAAACGCACCCAAGTCAGTGTTTCTCAACCACATTCCTGGAGGACCACCGTCTCTGCACATTGTCCGTGTCTCCTTAACCAAACACCCTTATTTAGATCATCAGAAAACAGGCAGTGTTGGTGATCCTCCAGGAAGATGGTTGAGAAACACTGGTCTAAGTGAATTGGATGAACTAAATTGGCCGTAGTGCATGGGTGTGTGTGTGAATGAGAGTGTATGGGTGTTTCCCAGTACTGGGTTGCGGCTGGAAGGACATCCTCTGCGTAAAACATATGCTGGAATAGTTGGCGGTTCACTCCGCTGTGGTGACCCCTGATAAATAAGGCACTAAGTCGAAGGAAAATTAATAAATGAATGAATAATATTATGGCGAGGCAGTGGCGCAGTAGGTAGTGCTGTCGCCTCACAGCAAGAAGGTTGCTGGCTCGCTGGTTCGAACCTCGGCTCAGTTTCCGTTTCTGTGTGGAGTTTGCATGTTCTCCCTGCCTTCATATGGGTTTCCTCCGGGTGCTCCGGTTTCCCCCACAGTACAAAGACATGCAGTACAGGTGAATTGGGTAGGCTAAATTGTCCGTAGTGTATGAGTGTGTGTGTGGATGTTTCCCAGAGATGGGTTGCAGCTGGAAGGGCATCCGCTGTGTAAAAACTTGCTGGATAAGTTGACGGTTCATTCCGCTGTGGCGACCCCGGATTAATCAAGGGACTAAGCCGACAAGAGAATGAATGAATGAATAATATTATCGTTTGTCTATTATCATTGTGTCTGTTGTCTCCGCAGGTGTGTGTTGTTCACCTGTGGTAATCCTTCACACAGTAGATCTTATTTTGTGCGTCCACACTGAACTGCTGCCCCTCCAGAGTCTCGTTGCAGACCACGCAGCGGAAACACTCGCGGTGGAAGGACTTTCCCAAAGCCTGGAGCACCTGCAGAGGTCAGAGGTCATCTGAGTGGATCATGTGGTCGAACGCTTTAAATAAATCGCTCTATTTCTGTCAGAGAGGTTTTCAGGCTGACCATATCTGTGATTAAATAGCCGCAGGATGAGCAGACCTCTGCAAAGTGCTTGACGCTGGAATACTAGAAAAGAAATGGAGTTTTTAAAAGCTCGACTCATATACACTGAATGGAAGAAATGATTCATGAAGAAAACCACAGACCAAATAATCCTCCTCGCAGAACACTTGTCCGGAAAAGTCATAAAAGGGCTTCCCTTTCAGTTTCTGGCCTGTGGTGAAGAGGGAGGAAATATGCATGTGATCTTTGGATTCTGATGTGCGTGGTTTGCATTTCACACAGACCCCGAGGGGACGTGAAAGTTTGCATTTTTATATTTGCATATGGTGACACGGTGGCTAAGTGTAGAGATCTGCGCTGGACTAAATTTTGAATCCTCCGCCCGCACCCGCCAGGTTTTAGCCCGAACCCGACCGCTCCCGCTTATATTAAGCACTTGTTGTCCCGCTGCCCGACCCGCCCCGCCCCGTTTTCTATCCGCCGCGCCCGATCCCGCTAAAGAGCGGGGGGAGAACAAAACCGAAAATCACCCAGTTATACAGTCCAGACAGCCTATAACAAGCTGTCTGTATAAACACACACACACACAGCACCAAGCACACACACACACAGACAAAGCTTTCTCTCTCTCATTCGCGCGCGCGCACCCACTAACACACACTCATAAGCACCAAGCACACACACAGGCAAAGCTCTCTCTCTCTCTCATTCGCGCGTGCGCATACATACACACACACACACTGCAACAAACAAGCTAAACAGAGCATCGCGCTATTTCATTTACACACATACATACGCGTGCTCACTCGGGATTCGGGAGCGCTATTGCTAGACAGCCTACTCCCGTCCCAAATTAAACCCGTTACCGACCGCTCCCGTGATTTATTCGGAAATTTATACCCGCGCCGTAGAAATCTGGTCGGGTCCTGCGGCGCCCGCGGTATGCAGACCTCTAGCTCAGTGGTTAGCACTGTCACCTCACAGCAAGAAGGTCGCTGGTTCGAGATATATATATAGCGGATTTATTGTGTATGGCCATATACCGAAAGCGATTCACAATCATGAGGGTGGCCTCTTTACACCACCCCCACTGTGCAGCATCCACTTGGACGATGTGATGGTAGCCACAGGACAACGGCGCTAGTGCGCTCACCACACACCAGCTATTAGAGTGGAGAGCCAATTCAGTGGATGGGGATGATTAGAAGAACATGATTGGTAAGGGTATATGGAGGGAATTTGGCCAGGACAAATGACCACAGAGAGTCAGGACCTCTCTTTAACATCTCATCCAAAAGTCGGCGCTCACTGACTCCCCATTCACATGGGGCTTCAGCGTCAACGCTTGACTGAAGGCGTGTCTGAAGTTGGGGCTGAAGTGATCGTCATAGAAGCGTCAGCCAATGAAATTCAGTCAGCAATAGGCCACTGTCTGAGCTGGTGTATTTGCATACAGCATTCTGATTGGCTGACGCTTCCATCGGTGCTTGAAAAGTTGAGCTAGTCCCAACTTCTGCAGCGAGCAACGCCTCTGAAGCGGCGCCGACTGATCCACAATGCAGTTCGGCAACGCCTGACGTCACCCATTCAAAATGAATGGGAAGTGTTGACGCTGACGCCCTGCATGAATGGGGTGTGACAGTTTAGTGTCCCCTTCACTATATTGAGGCATTAGGACTCACACAGACCGCAGATTGAGCGCCCCCTACTGGCCTCTCTAACACCAATTCCAACAGCAACCTAGTTTTCCCATCCATGTATTGATCAGCCGTGCTTAGCTTAAGTGAGTAACCGGTCTCAGGCCGCAGGATGATATGGCTGTATATATGGTGATCATTCGAATTAAAAAGCCCTGTGTTGTGACCAAGCGGCAACCTCCCGCTCTCTCTCAGGAAGCCAATACGGAAGTAACTAAAACTGCAATTCATCCGAAATTCCGCTAGTTGTGGCCGCTCTTGGCTCCAAAACAGAGCAAATTTCAATTGAGCCCACTGTTAGAATGGCCAACTTTACAGCAGAAAAAAGGTGTTTACAGCCTGCTACAAAAAAAGATTTTGGTTAATACAGCTAATATTACCCTTCATGACAACTGTGAGGGGGGTGAATTTTTTTATAACTCATCCGTTTCCTTTATATTAAGTTATATTAAGTTTGCATAATTAAGGGAGTGGCCACTTGAGTGACAGCTAGGTCTCACTGGTCGGCGTCACGTCACCTCAGCTGAATCCTGCAGATTAGCCACTGAACTCAGCATATTCATCGCATTTCTGTGTTGTTTTATGTGGCTTTACACAGTCAACTGCCTTTTGGACTTGTTTCCCACAATTATCAGATGGCTTGGCATGCTGAGTGCACTTAATTGTGCTCACAAACCATTCACGTGGCCTCCGTTTCCCATGTGAGTAAAGTTATATACTTATATATACCATCTCTATACATGTATTTGTTTTATTTAAAGATCATTTATCGTTTTTATTTATATTTGGAGCTGTAGTACACTCCAGAATCTGACGAATTGAGTAGCTGTAGGCTCTAGATCAGTCATCTGAAGCGTTGTCATACAGTGTTATGCTGGATTTCATCAATAGTCTTACATTAACTAACACAGACTATATCTGAAGTGTTTGGAAGTAATTCGCGTTTTCCTCCTGTTGAAAAACGTCATGAGAACAATGTTTAGTGGCTCAATGTATTACAGCAGTGTTTTTAAAAGTCTAAACACTTTATTAATATAGTGTACAATCAAGCACAAGTGGTCAGAATACGAACGAGTCACAGGTGATAGTATTAAGCGTTCTCCCAAAGTAAAGTGTGTCTGAATGAGGTCCAAGCAAACTGTCTGCAGGTGTCTGTAGCTCCGCCCACTCTCCGCCTCTTTGCCCTTGTTTGGTATCCCGCCGTGGGTGTGATGACGCGCGAACAAAATGGCGACGGTTGGCCGCGCCTACTTGTGGCTTCTTTTGCGCTCTTTAGAAACCTATGGGTGACGTCACGGATACTACGTCCATATATTTTACAGTCTATGGTCGTGACTCGTGTGTTTTCCTCTCGTCATCAGTCATCTGTAATATCTGCATGTATCTGCTCTTTCACATGAACGGTGTGTGTTTTACCGCAGGTGCAGCAGGTGAAGCAGCGATCATGGTAAACTCGGCCCATGGCTTGACAGGCCTGATCAGAGCTGTAAACTCCTCCACTGCACTTCACACACCACCCTGCAGAGGGCACACACACACACACACAGAGAGAGAGAGAGAGAGAGAGAGAGATGAAAAAGAGACTAAAGGTGCTTTCACACCTAGACTTTTCTCTCGGAACCTGTCTCGTTTGCCCAGTTAGCGCGGTTCGTTTGGCATATGTGAATCCACCAATCACGCGCCATAACAATTGCTCCGAGATCGCTTGAATGAGGTGGTCTGGGCTCAATTGAAACGAACCCTGGAGCAGATTGATTGTAGTGAGAAAGCAAAAGGATCCGAGCCCGGCTATATCACAGTGTATTGTGGATATGTAATAGGGATACGGCTTAATGAAGAGAGAATTATGAGTAGGGCGGGAGATCATTCCAGACATGCCAAGTCTCCTGGAAGTTTCAGGAGTCTCCCGCAAATGCACAGAGACTCCCTGATGCCCGCAAACGAGTGATAATCTCCTGAATTTCGCATATCTCCCTGCCGGTCCTCAATCGCGCACGCTTCTCACGCCCCATTCACACGAGGCTTCAGCGTCAACCCTTGACTGAAGGCGTGTCTGAAGTTGGGGCTAGCGCGATCATCATAGCAGTGTCAGCCAATAACCCCTTTCACACAGTGATACCGGTAAATATACGGAAAATTTCCGGAACCACTTTAACGGTAAGTTCAAAAAAGCGCTGTTCACACAGGCGAGGACGTTACGGAAATTTTCCGGACAAGACCGTTCACACATCCATTCCAAAATATCGGTAAATTCTGACATCATTCACCACAAATGACAATAAAACACAACTTCACTGTGTATTAGGTAAAAACCAGATTGCATCTTACTAGCGGCACAATACATTGATGCTTGTCACAAAAAGAGACAGGAGACCAATAAAAATATACAAACACCACACACACACACACACACACACACACACACACACACACACAGACCATACCTGCCAACATTTGTCTGTGAAGTTTTGGGAGGCCATGGGGTGAAAGGTTGAAGGGGCAGGGGGGTGTTGGGGGAGCTGTATCAAAGTTGAGGACCGGGTAGGGTAATAGGCTAAGCAAAATATTCGAATATTAAACAAGATTATTTAGCTCACCCCATTTGGCAGATGATTTTTTAAGGAAAATCTCACTTAATTTTGGCATATTATGTCTGAAAACGAGACAATATTTTGCTTGTCTAGAAAATGCAACAATTTTTAGATATTTTGGACAAGAAACAAGACAAGAACTCTAAAAAAGAAAAGTATGTGTGTGTGTGTGTTCATGCAGCTCACCGAGGCTCAGAGTGTGTGTGTCCATGTCCAGAGATGTCCAGCTCCTGCAGACAGACTCTGTCTCCGGCTGGAAGACCAGAGCGTACTGTGAATTCTCCAGTGTGTGAGAGTGTATTTATACTGTGTGTCACAGCACATGTGTGTGTGTGTGTGTGTGTGTGTGTGAGAGAGGAGACTCTGTGAAGGCCTTTGATGGATACACATGATATATATATATATATCACTAACAGCTGTGCATCATAATCACGGAGCTGCTGAGATTTTACACGAGACTGATGACATCATCCAGTTCACATGAGTTACTGTGATCTATCTATAACTAAAACTGTATACTGTATCTGTCTGTCTGCCTTTCTGTCTTTTCAATCATTTATTTATTCATTCATTCGTTCATTCATGCATTCATTCATTTTCTTTTCGGCTTAGTCCCTTTATTCATCAGGGGTCACCACAGTGGAATGAACCGACAACTTTCCAGCATATGTTTTACACAGCGGATGCCCTTACAGCTGCAACTCATCACTGGGAAATATCCATACACACACACACACACACACACTCATACACTACGGCCAATTTAGTTTATTCAATTCCCCTATAGTGCATGTGTAAAGTAAAAAGTAAAATAACATAACTAAGAATTATGCTTTAGTCTGCAAAAATTTAGTGAAATAAATATTTATTTATGTTTTATATATAAAAAAATGTATATACATAATATCACAGTTATTTCAAACTGGTTAAACAATTTGCTATGTATATAAAATAAATAATATTAATATGTATTCAACATACAAATAAATAAATTATATTATCATATTTAGTCATATTACACAATTAAACAGAAACAAATACATTCAGTAAAAAATAAAATGGTATTTCAAAATATTTTTATAATAGCAAAAGCAACAAACCCAACAGCATAATAATAATAATAATAATAATAATAATAATAATAATAATAATAATAATAATAATAATAATAATAATAAATAGAGTTTATTTGTACATGCTCTACTATATTTATGTGTTGGTTTGTAATAATAATACATATTATTGTTGTTGTTATTAATATTCATATTTTCAGAATATTTATATAATAACAACAGCAACAAACCCATAATATCATAATAATAATCATAATAATCATAATAATTAAGTATTATTATTGTTGTTGTTATTAGTTTTGTTGTTATTATGCTGTTGGGTTTGTTGCTGTTGTTATTGTTATATAAATATTTAGAATTATTATTATTATAAACTAACAAATATATTCAGTATAGAAATATTGAACTCTATAATATTTCAATGAAATGTCTTTATAACAACAACAATAATACTACTAATAACAATAATAATAATTTTAATAATATTATTATATTGATTCATTCATTAGTTTTCTTTTCGGCTTAGTCAGTTTATTAATAAGGGATTGCCACAGTGGAATGAACCGTCAACATATCCAGCATATGTTTTACGTAACAAATGCCCTTCCAGCTGCAACCCATCACTGGGAAATAATATATCATATATTATATATATTATTATATATTATATTATAATAATAGTTATTATTATTGATAAGATTATTATTAGTAGAATTATTATTATTTTTATTATTATTGTTCATGTAATTTTGAACATTAGATCCACCATATTGGTACTGAATCTGATTTATAGTGATATACTTGTCAAAGTACAAATCTGCATCTTCCAAATGTGAATAACAGTTCATACGAATAAATATAAAGGCAAATATTCTCATCTCTTTTTTACCTCTTATCTTTAAGTCTAGAAAAACTGCATTATATTATCCCAAACAAAATCCATCACCCTCTAGAGTCAAACTTCCAAAATCATAATGATAGATTGCTGGTTATTAAATGCAATCTGAACACATGGTGCAATATTTTGGAGCAGATTGTGAATTAATTATTTAGACCTTCTCAAGAAACATCATGTCACTCTTTCAGAAAATGACATAACGGCTCTAATGTATTGCTTTCTGGATGGCATCAAATTATGTGACCACAGGGTTGATTTCTGAGGCAATAACCCATTATTCTCGTTATTATCAGATGACGCACTAACGCTATTTATCTCCTGCAGCCATATTGTTCTAATGATATCTCAATGTGTGGATGAGGAGAACAGATTGGTAAACACAATGCAAGGTAAAAAAGTCATGGTGAAATGTGTTGTCTCTGGTCGTACCTGTTGGATGGGTTATGCAATAGTTCATCTTCACTTATTAAAGAGCTGCAGGCTGTTGACACTGACATGACAGGAATGCTGTTGTCTGTGGGCATGTGTGGACTCATTACATCAAATACTACTGCAGATGAGAACAACTTCTGTAAACAGACCACAGTTAGACTTTAAACATGCATATGAGGATTTTTAATGGATGTGTGATGATGCATTTGATTAATAACAGGAATTGCATTTAATTTTTTTTTGCAAAAAATGGCTTATTATTACGCATATTAGAGAATGAAAACTATACCATGAATTTGATCATTAATAATTGCATTGCAATCCTTTAAATTAATCAATAATTATTTACATATTAAAAATGTTGCACACTTAAATACTCATTACAATATTTTCAAAGATTATTAAAATATAATGTAATGTAATGTAATATAAAATAAATTATAATATAATATAAAATATGTTATAATATAATATAATATAAAATATAATATAATATAAAATATAATATAATATATTAAAATATAATATAGTATAATATAATATAATATAATGTAATATAAAATATAATATAATATAATATAATGTAAAATATAATATAATATAATATAATATAATATAATATAACAGAATATAATATAATGTAATATAATATAATATAATATATTAAAATATAATATAATATAATATAATATAATATAATATAATATAATATAAAATAAAATAATATAATATTATATATTAAAATATAAAATATAATATAATATAGTATAAAATAATATAATATAATATAATATAAAATATAATATAACATAAAATAAAATAATATAATGTAATATAAAATATAATATAATATGTTATAATATGAAAAACTGATAAAAGATTAATAAAAAACTGAAAATATAACGCATTAAGCTATAATTATATAAATATAATTATTTTCAAGTAAATTTGATATATAAAAAGTTACGTTTTGTTACAGTCTAAATGTGTTGATATACAAACTGCCTCCGGCGAAAAGACTTTTTACTTCAGCGAATACTTAGCTCATGAATATTAATTTGGCGTAATGACGTTCTCTCGACAATCGTCCAATAAAGGAACACTTGCCTTATGAATATTAAGTGTGTCCTCAGGCTGTGCGGAGAGTTCTCAATCCTGATTGAGGAACACCAAGGAGTCATGTTTGTTGAGATTATAAACTAAGAGCTGTCACAGATGAGTGGATTTTCCGCCTGAAAAAAACGGAAAGAAACTTTTATATTTTTCCTATAGTATGTAACGTTAGTCTGTAGTATATATATTAGAGTCTCTTCTCTTGATTCGAGCTAAAGTGTTTCTTGAATAATGCAATCGCATTTTTCCAGCTGTTCTCTCGTGAACGCAAGTTTGTACAGGTAAATGCGCGCGCACACGCCCTTCACAACTGCCAGCAGAATCAGGAAGCGCGAGTCCGCGAGATCCGTCGCACTGAACTCAATCCACCATGCGCGACCCAAAGGTTTAAAACAACCCGTTTGTACCGCATAAATACATCGTAGTGGAAGTTCTGGGAAGCTCTGAAGGAGAACGATGGGTTCCAGTGCGGTCCCGGTGCTCATTGGACTCATTTTATTGCACATTCACAAAATCTCAGGTGAGTCTTTACAGAAGCGCCACCCCAAACACGTTCAACACCCTTGCTGCTGTCATTTCGCAACTTTTAGTTAGTTACTTCATAGCAGTTCGATCTGAAGTGCTTAAAATATGTCAGGTGTGCTTGCTAATTATTGTGAATTGGGTTAAGTTGGTTTTATCTTCGCACATGCAGACGTCTATTATATAATTTTAGAAAGGCATTCTTTGCAATTGCTAAACAGGTAAATATTATTAGCAAAAAAAAAAAAAAAAAAAGACTATCAAAGTACAACATTGTTTACAGTCAATGAATTAGTGCTAATGTTGTTTTGGAGTCATACTTGCATGCGGTTTCTGAGCGAATGTATCAAACTAGCGTGGTAAACAATATATGACGTCACAAGTGGTCACTTGGTTATAAGTGAATGTGCCAATATAAAACCCAGTTTATCTCAATATAGTGGTATTTTTATTTATTTATTTACGTTTAATAATCTAAAAAGAGTTTGTAATGATTTGCACTAATTGTAATAACTTTAATAACTTAATTTTTATTAAATGCCGGCTTGGTTTATTTTAGATTAGTGATTAAATTATTATTATTATTATATATTAAATAAAACGTGTTTTTATATCATTTTAAAGTACATATTTTATATAAAAATTATTATTAAATTAATATCTTTACTTTGTTTAAATGTATATTTTTATTTATTGTAGATGATATTTTTGTAATCTTTTTTATTTTTAATTAATACGTTATATTATTAAAAATATATTTATATTTTTATATTAATTTAATATCTTTATTTTTTACTATTGTGGATAATTTTTTGAATTCTTTTTTTATTTTTATTTATATTTTTATATTATTTTAAATAAATATTTTTATATAAATTTATAATGAATAATTTAATATCTTAAAATTTTTTACATTTAATTGTTTGTTTGTGGATAATTAATTTTTTTTCTTTTTCTTTTTAATATTTTTTGATTATTTTTAAAAATATTGTATATTAATATTTTTTATAAATTAAGTATCTTTACATTTTATTATCTTTATTATTGTGGATAATTAAATATTTTTAATGATCTTTTTAATTTTTTATTAATATTTCAATATTATTTTTAATGTTTCATATTAATATTTTTAAATTAATCATTTAATATCTTGAGTTCTTGATTTAATATAATGAGTTCAGATGCAAAAACTTTCAAGTGCCGTCTGGAATTTTGTTCTACAATACAAATTTTTGCTTAGCCTCTTATGATTATATTCAGTTATTAATTTCAAATGGTACTTAGAGATTTTTGCATTTAAACTCTTTAAAACTCTTTTACTTTTTTTAATTAATATATATTTTAATTAATGTGGATAACCTTTTTCAAATTCATTTAAACAGGCACTATCATGATCATTTTACATGTGTGTGCATGTGCGTAAGTTTAAATCCAAACCTAAGAATCAAAACAAACTCAGTTGTGTCATTATAAATAAATAAATAAATAAATAACAGAGTGATGATTAAGTTTTTGGTATCTCACAGACTCAATTTGTGTGTGTGACTGTTGTATCAATCACAAGAAATATTTGCAGGAGTTTTGTACGTATACACTTATTCAATTATTATTATTATTATTATTATTTATTTATTTATTTTTTCATTATAAAAACGTCTGGCTTCCTTCGTGGCCTACTATAAAAATGGACACATTTGCATTTATGACAGCTGCTGTGAAAAATAACTTGTTAATTATTGACCAACAATCTGTTACTGCACAAATGGAGGGTGGTTTGCTAAGATGCTCTTGGGCAGGGAGGGAAAAACATGCGGCTTTCACTGCTTTCTCTGTGGTGAAATGCATATCTGATGACAGTGACAATAGAAAAGCAAGCTGGCTTTGACATTGACAACAATGGTCTTTCATTTTCACAGTGCTGAAGTTGACCTTCAAAGTGCTTTTTTATTTGAACTTGAGATTTTTTTTGCATTAAGAAATGTCAGAAGAGGACATTTCTTTTGTGCATGAGACAATTGGATGCTAGTCTCATTTTGGGTGAGGTAAAATTGAGAAAAGTAATATTAAAATTAAGTTTCAATTAACTTGTATACAACGTACAATTGTATTATAATATTGTATGTTTGTGTATTAAATAAAACAACATACCTATTATGTCATGTAGGTACCTGTTATAACATATAAACAAATTAGTGATCATGCTAAATTTGACTATAACACTGACAGGTGTGTAAAACACAGGGGTTTGAAGGATATTGGCAAAGTATATAGATAATGACAATATATTATTGTTTTTGGGTATTTCAATTTATTATTCTTGTCGTAAATATGCTTGGGAAGATGAATTATATTTTAGTTGGTGTTTTCTGTAAATCATGGAGAACTTGTAAAGTTTGCACACAAAATGTACATATAAAATGTATTAAAGGTTATTTAAAAAAACATTTTTTTTACTTTGTCCTTCATGGACAGGAGGGAATTACAGAACACATTTAAACAAAACCATATATATTTAAATCAATAATCTTTTTTTAAATTGTTTTTATTTTGAATTAATATTTTGTATATTATTTTTTTAAATATATTTTTAGATTAATATTTTTTATTAATAATTTAACATTTTTAAATTGTTTTAACTAAATAATTTTCATTATTTTGGATAATTAAATGTTTTTAATTATCTTTTATTTTTAATAAATATTTTTGCATTAATATTTTTTAATTAATAATTTAGATAAAACATTTTAATTAATATTTTTAAATTATTGTTGATAAACTTCAAATGCGATAATTGATAGTTTTTTTTTATTATCTTTTTATTTTTAATTAAAATTTTAAATTTTGGGCGATGCAGTGGCACAGTAGGTAGTGCTGACGCCTCACAGCAAGAAGGTCAGCTGGCATTTCTGTGTGGAGTTTGCATGTTCTCCCCGCGTTCACGTGTGTTTTCTCCGGGTGCTCCAGTTTCCCATACAGTCCAAACACATGCGCTATAGGTGAATTGGGAATGCTAAATTGTCCGTAGTGTATGTGTGTAAGTGACTGTGTATGGATGTTTCCCAGAGTTGGGTTGCAGCTGGAAGGGTATCCGCTGCGTAAAACATATGCTGGATAAGTTGGCGGTTCATTCCACTGTGGCGACCCCAGATTAATAAACCGACCAATCCGAAAAGAAAATGAATAAATGAATGATTGATTTAAAATTATCTTTAAAATACATTTTTATATTACTATTTTTTTATTAATAATTTAATATCTTTAAAAAAATGTATTAATATTTTTGATATTGTGGCTACAGTTTTTTTTAATTGAGTAATTTTTATTCATTTTTATTTATTTTTACACATTAATATTTTTATATTCACAATTATATATTAATATGTTTTTAATAATTTTAATTAATGTTTTTTATTATTTTAAATATCCTTTTATAATTATTGTGGATAATTACATCTTTTAAATTATCTTTATTTTTAACAAATATTTTATATTATTTAA